ACGCAGCCATGGTTCACCTGTACGAGCTTGTGCTACACACGCCCACGAACAAAGCTTCCTTCGCAGCGCCCTTCATCCCAGGCCGCATACCCGTCAAAGACTTTCCCAAGCCGACCATCATCATCGCGCCTCTCAAAACGAGTCTCGAAGCCCTCGTTCAGAACTGCCATGCCGTCCTCGATACGGCCGCAGAAATGGATCCAGCTCTACTTGTTAATTTCCCATCATTCTGCTTCGCACCAACAGTCCTATACTCGCTTTTCGTGCTGGTTACTGTCATGGTAGCTTCGACCGACCCCGCCAACACATACGGTCAATGCCTACCGAACAACTGTTTCCGCATTGAAGAGTTTGGACTCAAGATGCGCAATCTGGTCATGTACATGAAGGTCCTGGATCCTACGCTAAGTTGCTTCACCACGCGTATGTTTGATGCGACGAGTTGGCTGGAGCAGTGGTATAACGACTACACTGCTATTCTGCAGCGGTACGAGGCAAATCTAGTTAACTAAATCGCATTATACGGTGGTATCTTATAGAATTGCAACGTCTTTTGAAGTTAGATGGCACGGCGAACTTTGGCCGTTGGTGTCGATCAATTCATCCGTCGTGTTACTGTTGATTGGTGCACGAATCCATGGATGCTTGCTGCCGCATGTCGCATGCATAAGCGTGGTCAGCCACGTTCTGGCCGTCAGCCATCCTGCATCGGTATTTTTTCGCCAGATGCTTGAAGAGATGACGTTTCAGACACACGGAAATGTTTTTCTATGGCTGCGGTTTGGTGGTCTACTGTCTGATGATGTAGTTGTCGCGCGTAGATGTTCGAATACACATTTAGCTGATGCGCAATCTCGCAGTGGGCAAACTGGCTAAAGTCCGCTGTCTCGTCCGCGTACGCTAATGACGGTAGGGAGGATTCTCCGTTCCTGCATGGGAAAACGCCCTGCGCTGATGCTCGTTGCTTCACCATGTATCGCGGTGATCTGGTGCCGCTCTTGTTCAACAGTCCCGAGGTCACCTTGTGTAAATGCTCGTCAAGGTCGCTGTAGTACCCAAGTACTGTATACAGAGCGGATCAAAACGACTGTCATCATAAAATGCTACTCTTTATAGTCTAGCATCGTCAGGCGAGCAGTGAGCTATCGCGACACCTAGTAGCCTCTCGCTTACATCCTCACCCCTCACTCTCTCCTCCCATCGTGACTCTCGCCTTGCACAAGCACCCGACAACCACGACGCCACAAGCCACAACGTTATTTTTGGTACCTCCCCAAGTACATTGACCCACGACTTCTGGCGAGTTCCTGCCGTCCACCCTAGCCCATCGTGTGTTTAGCGACGGTTGTTGCAGCACGACAAGTGGATACCGGCATGCACGCTCCCGCACTGCCCCCTGCTGATTCGCCACATCGTACACTGGGAAGGAAGGCATAGGGCTGTTAGATCAAGCAGAGGCTTGGCTTTCAACGTCAAGAGTGCCTAGGTGTTCTAGTGAAGCCATCATGATGCCTGCGGTGGATGATGATGCTATATTTGGAGTATGCTGCCTTGATCGTGCACTTCTCGATTCAGGCTACCTAGTCATTATGAGTCGACAACCTCGAAAGTGTTTAGAGCCAGGTGTTGTGGTTTCGGTAGAGCAGGGCGGTGCTATATTTGCCACGGGTTGCATTGATCGTGCACTGCCGGATACGAATTGCTAGGTCTTGGCTGGCAGGAGTCGAAGATGTCATGGAAGTAAGCACACAGGAAAGGGTAACCGGTGAGTGAGATGGGGATGTAGTTGTGCATGTGGAGAGGTTGGGTGAAGCCCACATCATGGGCATGGGACACGTATAAGAGAGCCTCGTCCTTGGGCTTGAGGACGACATCACAGCATTGCATCTTCAACTTTAGGGCCTACAAAGCAATATCTTCTTCAGCACCTCACTTTACTCCAACGCTCACCATGCGTCCATCTCAAGTCCTCTCTTATGCCATTCTGGCAGGCACCAGCGTAGCCCAAGGCGACATTGGCGCTCTCCTGGCCTCACAACCCGACCTCAGCACTCTCCTCGAACTAGTCGGTCTTGTAGAGGGGCTAGCAGACACGCTCTCTGCCGCTTCCAACATCACCATCTTCGCTCCTACCAACGAGGCATTCGCAGCCGTACCACGCGATGTACCCGAGGGCCAGGCCATCGAGAACAAAAACGACACTATTGCCATCGGCGCCCTACTCGCCAACCACGTCTTCAAGGGCGTCTATCCTGCAAGTGCCATCACCGATATCCCAACCTTTGCGCAGACACTCCTCGACAGCTCATATGTGAACGAAATCCAGCCGTTCTCCAACTTTACAGGTGGGGCCTACAATGAGCTAGTCAAGAATGGAGAAGATGTCTGTGTCATCTCTGGAGAACAAACCATCTCCACTGTTACTGAAGCTGTAAGTATCCATCATATGTACCCATTGTCACACACATCATGCATCACCAACGACACTAACACAACCCCCCAGGACATAATGCTCGGCGCCGGCATAACAATCCACAAAATCGACACCGTCCTCTCCTTCGGCGCGCCCTTCCAACTCTTCACCTACCGCTCGGGCTACCTCGCCATGAACGCCGCCCTCGAAGCCGCCCGCCTCGCCATCGACTTCGGCCTCTCGAGCCCCTCAGCCACCGGCCTCAACATCTCCGACTTCACCATCTTCGTGCCCACCAACTCAGCCTTCGAATCCATTGGCTCGGTGCTTGAATCCGCGGACCAGGCGACGCTGCAGGAGGTGCTCAAGTACCACATCATTCCTAGTAATGTTATTTTCTCGACTGCGCTGGGTAATGTGTCGGTTAAGAGTCTGCAGGGCGCGGAGTTGGTGTTTACGGTGACGGAGGATGGGAGGGCGTGGGTTAATGGGGCGGAGATTGTTTATGCTAATACTATTCTTTTTAATGGGGTGGCGCATGTTATTGATGGGTAAGTCTTCTCCTCCCCTCCCCCCATACCAATTATCACACATACTGACATTCCATTCCCAGTGTCCTCAACCCTCTCACTCCTTTCGACCGCGCTTCTCTCGAGCCATCTGCCCCGGCATCCGACCGCGTTGCTTTCGAAGGCGCATCTTCCGTCTCTGAACTCCCCTTCTCTAGCGCTTCTCTCGCTTTCGGAGGTGATCTCATGACCTACACTACCACACCTGAGCTCCTCAAGACTGTTGCTGCTGTTGCGACACCTACCTCGGATGTTGACGCTACGACTACAGGTTCGCCTATGGAGACTTACACTGGTGCTGCCATGGCGATGCTTCCCGGTGCTGGTATGGCTGTTGCTGGAGCTATGGGAATTGCTGCTGCGCTTGTCTAGAGTTGAGATGGGACGAAGTGACGGAGAGGAGGATGCGACGGTTGTGGATTGAATCGAGAGTCTGCATATGAATGCGCACGCATAGATGGCATACCACCTAGATTTCTTTGAGGTGTTTCCCTTGGCAGGCATAGTTGTAGCGATCTCGAAATTCGATAATGAGTAAGTGCTAGAGCGTACCTAGTGACCACTTTCCAAGGCGATGATTGTTTCTAGTGTCTCTGTCTTGTTGCAAAACAATCCTGCTCTGTGGTTATCGAATCTTTGGGCGTGATGAGGGGGAATAATCGACTTCGCAGCGTCAGAACCACGACGTTGAGCCAGAGAACGTTACGCAGTGCCGCGGGGTATACTCCGTAGGGCGTGGTAGGGCGTGCACTGGAGAAATCGTTATCAGTACGCTTCTGACCCCTGCGTTCAGTCTGAACGGTAGTGACCAACTAGCGAGGTCTCTCAGCGAGCAGGAATACGAGGCCGGAATTAACAACATCTGGTGTAGCAGTGTCGTTTACCGGCTGCAGGAGGTGTTGAATTCTTGGATCAGATTTTGGAATCCATCCAGGAGGAATCCAAGATCACTTTCCAATAAAATCAGTGTAGTTCCAAGCTGTTTCATGTGTATAAAGGTATCGAATTGTTGATGCATCTGATGATGGAGTCGAGGTACAATTCCGGCCAGACCAATCACAGCAGCCTCATCGGACCCACCAGAGGCGCATGTTGGGCCGATTCTGCGGCTCTCCGCGGCCCTTCTTTTCGGTAGTTTTTCTGGTTGGCTCCCAGCCGAGCCGCTGTTAGGACTCGTGATGGTCATCGAACACCGTTACAGAGGCATGTCGTGTGTCATCAGGTAGGCTCTGAGTGGTAAATTGTTGTAGTTGATGCGAGTCGTTTTCATTGCGAATGTAGGCGTGTTGGCCATTCTGGTGTGCGATGGTGTCGATCGGGCCGACTTAGATGGCGTTGTCACCGCCGTAGTCGGCATCGTGATGGACGCCTTTGAGAAGTGGCATGTAGAGGTCGTTGCAATTGCCTTAGAAAGCCTAAACTTATTTTCTATAATAGGAAAGGGTTTCGAGTGTCGCAATAGATATGAACATGTTGTGACCTTAACATCCAGTCGATAGTAACACGTTAAGGACTTTGTGAATAGACACTGAATCACCAGCTGCGCACCTCTTTTGTTGCGAAAACAAACTTGAAAGCATGATGGAAATTTCATTCCAGGATTTCAGTGATATTCCAAGCAGTAGGAAAGTAGCATCCGTGGCGCCGCCTTCGCCCTCTTCCTCTGCTTGATACAAGTCTTGGCGGCGACGAGCCTACCCTCCCAACTCATCGAGGATATCAGGGGGAACCTCTGGATCGAGGCCGGGCATCGCAGGATGTCTTCGGGTCAAAGTCTGCTGATGCAGAAAAGTGATCCAGCCATTACGTACGTCTTATCTTGACGAGGCCGGTGGTTTTCCGTGGCCGGTTTTGATTCCGGCCTCGTAGGATATAAGCTCGTTGCCGCCGTCGCTGTCGAGAGATGTTTCAATTCATCCCAACTCCAACATTCGGCGCTCGGACCAGATCACCAGCATCAAAGCCTGAATACCTTCAGTCTCTTTGACTTCTCTGACTCTTCAATACCTCTTTGCACTATGTCTTCTTCAACCTTTGACTTCCCTGTCATGAAGGACACCCGTCCTGATGATCGCACTCTCCCCGCCTTCATGGTATCCACCACACGAGGCTTCCTTCCTCGTCAAGAACCCATCGTTGAACTACCAAAGGAGTTCGCTGCTCTTGAGTCTATCTTGCAACGCATGCCCATCAAGACACTGTCAGGGGAGCCAGGTCTACTTGCCAACTTCACCTTCGGCGACACCGTACTCAAGGAGCTTCCTGACCTTACCTCAGAGGTAGAGAAGTATCGCGATGACCTGGTTGTCATGAACGCCCTGTATCGTGACTACTCTTTCTTGGCTTCTGCATATCTCTTCGAGCCTTGCCATGAGAGACATGTAAGGGGAGAAGAGTACGGTCTGGGTCGACAGTCGCTACCGAGATGCATCGCGCTACCCATCGTCAAGGTTGCTGAGATGTAAGTGGCAATGCTTTCTCCTGCCCTCATGTGGTGCTGGTCTTATGTCCTCGTCCCCTAAGCTTCACCCCCTTTAAGAAAAATATTGGACACCTACCTCCATAGGGATCACGATGTACTCTAGAGTATATGACATGGCTGACATTCTTGCGTGCGCAGTGCTGGTTTCAAGCCGTTCATGGAGTATGCTGGGTCGTATGCGCTCTTCAACTACCGCCTGGAAGATCCATCACGGGGCCTCGAGTACGACAACCTTCGCCTGATCCGCGCTTTCGAGCATGGCTTAGATCCCACTTCGTCCGAGGCAGGCTTCGTTCTCGTCCACATCGCTATGGTCAAGGAGTCTGGTGCGCTTGTCACAGGTGCTTCAGAGATGCTAGAAAGCTGTTTGGCCAAGGACCGAGAGCGATTCAATGACGGCCTTCGTACTCTGGTGGGTGGTCTCAGGAACGTCAACGCCGTGATGAACAGTAAGTGCATTGCTTGGGTGCGTGAGTTCGCGACTGACGAGATTAGCCATGTGGAACCGTAGCAAGCCGCAAGGCTACACCAACTTTCGTACGTTCATCTTCGGCATCACCTCACAATCCATGTTTCCCAACGGTGTCATATACGAGGGCGTGAGCGAAGAGCCAATGTCTTTCCGCGGCGAGTCGGGTGCCAACGACAGCATGATTCCCATGTGCGACAACTTGCTTCAGGTCCAGATGCCGGAGACACCCCTCACAGACATTCTGAAAGACTTCCGCCAGTACCGCCCTGGCAACCACCGCGAGTTCCTGGAGGCTGTTCGTGATTGCGCTCAGCAGTCGGGCGTGCGCGAGTTCGCGAAAGGCGACTCCGTGTCAGCCGCGCTCTATCTCCAAGCTCTTGATCAAGTTCGCGACTTCCGCTGGCGGCATTGGTGCTTCACTCGCGAGTACATCCTCAAGCACACTTCGCACCCGACTGCAACAGGTGGCAGCCCGATCGTGACTGTAAGTGCTTCCTTGGCTCGACGGTCCTTGCTCCTACTGACGCGTAATAGTGGCTACCCAACCAGCTCACAGCAGTACTCATGCAAATGGCGGAGACCTTTGAGTACTGCAAGACGATCAATGGTGTCAGCGATATCATGGACACAGTCAACCACCAGCGCGAGTCGCTAAGGAAAGAGGTGGAGAAGTACTGCGGGGAACGAGGTGTTGCAGCATCATGAGGGGGTATGCTTCCCACGTCGACGGCTCTACCCTTTCTCTTGTAATTCGTAGCCAAACCACGATACATTTATTTTATGCCTTCTTTACGACATGCGCCTTTGTTGGAGTGCTGCCTAGTCGCGACATTTTCGTGTTCCGCCCTTTTTGATGATGACTCGCGTAAACTCAGCGATGCGAGGGCGTAAACACGTATCGCATGACTGTAGCGACAACACTACGGATGACGCCGCGGTGATTGTGGACCACGGAGGCTGTTAGTGGTGTAATGGTGGTGGTTCTGGGATGAGTCAAGACGCGCTACCGCGTGAGTCTCAGCGTCATGGCTCCGGCGGCCTTCTATCGATAAGTAGGCCCCCGGATCTCCCTAGCAGCTCCCCATCGCCATTGCCAGCGCCATTCCAGCACTTGCCACCCTTCGATGCTCACTGCAAGACAACTCATGGAATATTCACACTCCTTCCAGCTCCCGCGAATACCAAACGTCTTATTAATACGGCGGACTTTACGGAACATCTCCTGACAGCTCCAACCCCACATTCATACCACCATCACACCACGTACATCGGTCGCTGCGAATACCTTGACTAGGTCTACCGCTGGATATTTCATAATCACGTGCTATCTTGCATAATATGGCCTCCCGACACGAGCCTAAGCAGAGCCCAGCTGAGCGGCGGAAGGGCGAGTCTGTAAGTAACAACACAAGGGAAGCCCATGTCTCCCCAAGCTGTGCCCCAGATGTACCCCAGACATATATTCGTTGCTTTGACACAACGACTATGGTACGGGACAACCCAATCCCGTTGGCTCACGGTTCGCGCCGAGTAGTACAACCAGGGAAATGGGGCTTCTTGTAGTACGAAGGCGATCGCATCGTACTTGAGACGGATTACCCATTGAGGCCCCAAATGACCTATTTAAGCTAACGAATATACCAGGCGCTCAGCGAATTCGCCGACTACGTCCAAAAACAACAGGCGCTGCGCCGACCGCCAGGCCAAGCCCCCGCCGTCCTCGAAGACCACGATGAGCTGAGCATCCTCGACGAGCTCGGCCTCTCCGATGATAACAAGGCGCACATCCGCCTAAAAACGCTCCTTACCGACCCCGCCGAAGAGAACGTCGCAGCGCTCGCTGAGCATATCCAGGGGCGCCTGGCAGAGGGCCATGGGGAGGCTCTGTTCGATGTTGGCCTAGAAGACAGCGGTGACTCCATGGGCTTCACTGAGGACCAGTGGAAGTTTGCCTTGGAGAGGATACGAGTTGCCTGCGAGAAGATCAAGGCCGACTACAAGATGCTCATGACGCGGAACGTTGGCGGTGACGTCGAAGTCGGACCTCGCAATGCGAAGGAGCTTGGCTTAAGCGGCAAGATGATCTTGCGACAACAGCCGCAGAGTGTCGACGATGTGATCGAGACGAGGATAGCAGTTGTAGGAAATGGTGAGTGCCTCCAGGCGCAATTGAGAATGTACACTGACCATTGACAGTCGACGCTGGCAAAAGCACCATGCTCGGTGTCCTCGTCAAAGGCGGCCTCGACGATGGCCGTGGAAAAGCGCGCGTCAACCTCTTCCGCCACAAACACGAAATCGAGAGTGGTCGAACCAGCTCAGTCGGCATGGAGATAATGGGCTTTGACAGCAAGAGCGAAGTCGTTGTGTCGAACGTCGCAGGTCGAAAACTTACTTGGGAAGAGATTGGACGGCGATCCGCCAAGGTCATCAGCTTCACTGATCTCGCCGGTCACGAGAGATACCTGCGGACTACCGTATTTGGGCTGCTGTCAAGCGAGCCCAACTACTGTCTCTTGATGATCGCGGCAAACAACGGTTTAGTGGGCATGAGTAAAGAGCATCTCGGAATCGCTCTTGCGCTCAACGTCCCCGTCATGGTCGTTATCACCAAAATCGACATTTGTCCGCCACAGATCCTTGAACAGACTATAACTCAGCTTTCCAAGATTCTCAAATCTCCAGGAGCGCGAAAGATACCGGTATTCATCAACAATAGGGAGGAGTGTATTACCACTGCCACCCAATTTGTGTCGAGTCGCATATGTCCTATCTTCCAAGTGTCCAATGTCACTGGTCATAACCTGGACCTGGTGCGCATGTTCCTCAACGCACTACCACATCACGGCAATTACGACGCCTCTGCTCCTCTAGAATTCCATGTCAACGACACATTCTCGGTTCCTTTCGTTGGTACTGTGGTTTCAGGTGTTGTCAAGTCTGGTGAAATACATTCTGGCGACACAGTTCTGATCGGTCCCGACAGTCTTGGCCAGTTCCAAACGACAAAGGTGCGTTCCGTTGAGCGCAAACGGATACAAGTTCCAGGATGCTCTGCTGGCCAGTCTGCTAGCCTCGCACTGCGCAACGTTCGGAGAAAAGATGTGCGAAAAGGCATGGTCGTTTTGCACAAGGCTGAGAAGCCTGATCCAACAACCGGGATATTACCAGCCCCGAAAGTGTACCGCGAGTTCGTTGCCGAAGTCTTGATCTTGTCGCACGCGACGACTATCAAGACCAAGTACCAGGCTATGCTACACGTTGGACCAGTGTCCCAAACCTGCGCCATCATCGACATCGATCGCCAGTACATTCGCACTGGCGACCGAGCACAGGTAGCCTTCCGCTTCGTACAGCGACCGGAGTACTTGACTGTCGGCGATCGGATACTCTTCCGTGAGGGCAGGACGAAAGGATTGGGTATTGTCAAGAGAGTCGGTTATGACTCCAAGCATCCGCTAAACCCGGAGTTGCACAAAGACGACAAGAAGAAGGACAGCCAACCGGACGGGAAGAAGGTGGAAACATCATGACGGGTTAGAACGTAGAAGTTAGCAGAGATCTCATGATCTGCTTGAATAATCGCATGAGAAGATTGAATGATGTTACGTAATTAATGCCCTAGAGGCTAGCTGTCATGAATGATACAATGATTCCAAATTCGCATGAGACGATTCCAGCTGGAACGCAACTTTGCTGTGTCGAATGTGCTGGCACCGCGAGCATTTCATATGATAACGGTTATTCGTGCTCAAGTATGGGATTTGATACACAGGGTTCGAGGTGCCGCAACGTGTTGAAGATCGCGGTGCTGACAGCCGCGTATCGATAACAGTGCCGCAACGCTGGAACTCCTGTGGCCTCCAAGCTTCTGAGCGACAAAGCGGCACCTGTCTGGGCTCACAAACCTCTTCATCATATTTTTCATCTCACGTGCGGACTTTCAAGAAACATCTCCATGTCAGCACCAATCAACCTCGATCAGGAGAATCGCAGCGCAACGCAGGCGGATCGCCGCACAGTAAGACGGCACTTGATGTCATCGCGGCGTTTTCAGCCATCCCAGAAGGCTGTCGAATCACTGTGGAATATTTCGCAAAAGCAGAATTACCCATCATGGCCACCACAGACCCCGCCCAGTCCACTCTGTACCCCAAGATTACGACACACATTCCCGAGATCATCGAGCAGCTGCGGCGCATGAACCGCGACCCTGCCCAACCAGAAGCAAACATCATTGTGGACCCTATGCCTTTCATCGGTACAGTCAAACTTCATGGCACGCACGCAGATATCCTCGTATACCCTGATAACCGCATCGTCTTCCAGTCGCGCAACATAACTGGTTTGTCTGTCGGAAAAGATAATCAAGGGTTTGCGGCAGATATGTCAGAAAAGACCGCAGCCGTACTTGGACTGCGAGATGTGTATCTGGCACGATGGAAAGAGTTGAATCCTGGCGCAAGATTTGGAGAAGACTCACCCGTTGTCATGGCTGGAGAATGGATAGGCGATAAGATCCAAAAAGATGTCGCCATTGCGCAACTATCACGTCGCTTCGGCATCGTCTCGGTTAACATCAATGGTACATGGCAAAAAGACGAAGAGTACTCTGATATCTCATTGCCGGACTACGATATATACAATGCCTCTAGAGCTGGCGTCTTCCACACAACACTCTACCCTGACGACTACGAACGCACAGTATCAGAGATCGAACGCATGACCGAGGAGGTCGCCGCTCACTGCCCATTCGCAGCAACTTTCGGTATATCCGGCTTAGGCGAAGGCATTGTCTGGAAACCTGTAGCTCCTCGATACAACGCCGACACTTCTCTATGGTTCAAAAGTAAAGGAGGGAAGTTTAAACCTACTTTCTTCCGCTTTCCGAAACATCATGAAGGCGCCGATGTCATCAAAGAGCGAAGAAAAGCAGCCGCAACGGTAGCAGCTGCATGGTGTTCACAGCAGCGGTTAGAGCAAGGCTGGGATGTGCTCCGTGAAAAGGGTATTGAGAGGGTTGTGAGGGCACTAGGCGACTTTCTGAAGTGGATTCAACATGATATCTTGGAGGAAGAGAAGGGACATATCAAAGAGCATGGTGTGGACGAAGCGGCGCTGAAGATTGAGATTGCTAAAATTGCTAAGCCGTGGTATAGGGCAAAGCTTAGGGAGTGCGACGCCAGGTGATGCCAGACAAATTAGACGAAGACCATAAGGAAGAGGCTTGCTGGACGTTGATTGCGAATGATGCGCACGCACGACGATGGTTTGTGCTCTTGTGACGAAAGTCACAAACTTCTGGCACGCTTTATTAAGGTATCATCGCTCCCTTGGATCGCACCAACACAAGATACTCATTGCTCCTTTGGTTTTCATCACGTCCACAAAATTCGACCCTACTCACAGCGGTCCACCCTACAATGTCTGAAGCACTCAACGACGCTTCGGGCGACAGACCCCCACAGATGCCCGAAAAATACACCTGGCTTCGCGACGCTGCTTCGTCTACGTACTGTTTTGTCAATCTTTGTGTTTCCACCTCCGACATCGATGATGCGCGTTCCAAACTGGCTGCGAACGCCCAAGAAGACTTAGTCGTCGATGCACTCCTTAGGCGCGTCGTTGCAGTAAAGATTCCCGGAGAAGGCTCTACCCAACCTACGATGCATTCCGAATTACGCATTCTCCAAGAGATACACCGTCAATCGTATCCTCGCAGCGGCGGTGAACACTGCATTGAAGTAGTTGACCACTACGACATGGAAGCTATGGCCCAAGGGGAACCAGGTTGGCTGGTCATGGCAAGCTCACCAGTATCTAGTGATCTTGAAGGACTCTTCGTATTCGACACTAGGGACAAGCTTCCAAAATGCCTACTCTGGCTCATCATTACGCAGCTCTATGAGACAATCTACTTCCTACACCGCGAATGTAAGCCGACTATCACACATGGCAGTGTTTTAGCGGAGGACATTCTTATCAGCTTTCCCTACGAAGAAAAGAAGAATGGCGAGGTTACCATTGCTAAACGCCCTAAAATCAGTCTCGTAGGATTTGCGAAGAGCTGCATCCATGATCCTACGGACTCTCCAGATGGGCTTGAACGCAAGGCTCGGGCAGAGGAAGAAGATGTCGAATGTCTGGCCCAATTGATTCGAAAGCTCATCGATAGGTGCTACGAGCATGAAAATGTATATGATGGCAAGCCAGGAGGGAAGATGACAAGGCTCGTGCGAACGTATCTCAAAGATGATGCGCCAGAAGAGGTGAGGAAGTTTATGCAGAGGGATGCGCGAGACTTGGAGGGCGTATGGGCTGCTATCGGGGTATTCGCTAAGGAGAAATTGGGGAAAGTCAGTGACGAGGAGTGGGAAGAGGTTCGGAACTCGGTTGATGAGGTTGCTGAAGGGGAAGTAAAGTTGAGCGACCTTGTCAAAGGCGTTCTGAGTGATCAGTCAGCGAAGAACTAGGTGGCTAGCCAAGGTCCATTTCGTGTTGATAGATACTGGAATCTTGACAACGAGCGTCTTCTCATCTGCTACATATTTTGCTTCGCGTATTGAAGTGCTCATTGTGTGCTTGGACTCCTACAATCTGTCCCATTCCAGTCCTTCAAAACGAATAAACAAACCTCATTGTATATATTTTACTCGAAATGCTACAAGTGTTCTTCTACTTTCTACTAAGCTCAATGGCTTGACTTTTGTTTCTCAAACGTCCAAACCCACTCCAGACAACGCTCACCATCGTTCTTGGTGAACTCCTTCATGTATCCAGTGCGCTTACTCTTAGGAATCACCAGCTCAGCCGCACGAGAGAGCTCCTTCTTCCAAGCATCCAAGTAATGATCTTCCAGACGCCTAGCTTTATTTGCGCTGTCTATCTCCCCTCGCAAACTCCAATACCACACAAGGTGTTTAGTATCATCAATGCCACCGACGATGTGAACCTGGAGACGACGAAGCTCGGTGTGGCTAGATAAGATTTCGAAGCCAGAGAGACTAAAGCTAAAGTCTGCCGCGCTGTTGGCAGCTAGTCGCTCATTGGTAGGGCGGACGAGCTTGATGCAGACAGTGTCTAGCGGAGTCGAGGAATTAGCTGTCGCGGCGCTTCTATTGATCTCAGCCCGGGCTACTTCGCTGAGCCGGTAGACCCGCTTCACGTCATCGAAGATCATCGGCCAGTTGCACTGGATGAAGATCTCGTGCGTGTGGCATTCTGATGGAGTGATGGCGTCTAAGATATAGCTTTGGGTATGTATATCTGATAGTCGGTTATCCAGGTGCCACGTTGACTTCTGGTGTAGCTGTCGGATGCCTTCGCGCATCATTTGCTTGTTGGTAAGAAGCCACGGAATCTTGTCAACAGCAGATGGTGCTTCAACCGAGTCGTGCCTTCGGTCATAGGTTACCTTGTAGTCTTTGGTATCATACCGCTGGACAAAGGTCTTTGTATCGCTCCAGAGGTAGTCATAGATGATATCGCGGACTTCGGTTGGCAAGGTCGTGAAAAATGGAGAATTCGACATTGGAGCGGTCGATGATTTTGGTTTTCGATATGCTGTCGAAGACCCTAGTTAACTTTCGCTTCGGTCCTTGAAGGAGTTGAGAGTTTGGAGCGGAGACTTAGGCGAACTATGATCGTGAGATCTGATGCGGCTAGGCATTGTATATATCGGTAAAGGGAGCACCATGAATGCACTGTCCAACAGTGTGGACCAGCAACACAGCGGGAATTGCGCATTGATGACCGTGCACACAGAGGTGGCTCAAATGAATGTCGTATGTATTGATGGTACTGGGTATCAGACTGGTCAGGGTGACGGCCTCGATGCCGCACTCAATGCGACTCTGTCAATTCTTGATTGTGGAGGCCCCAGAGGGATACAATATACCTCAGTATCAGAGCAGGCGAATCGCGCAACCTAGATTGTCGGTCTAAGTATCGCCTTAACCCACACTATTGAATATCAGACCCTGATACGCGCTGGTATCTACGCTCAAGAGTCCTCCAAGCCTCCAGGGACGAGCAAATTCAACGTCTCGAGACATTGCTATGAATGGAAAGCGTGGATGAGGATGTAACCGAAATTGAAGACGAACGCGCAGTATCCGGCTGTGTCGACATCGCCTTCCGCTACGGAGGAGATGGTAGAAAGAAGAAGATGCGGAAGTCGCGACTCAGAGTCTGGCAATGCAGGGTGCCGTAATGACGTTTCCCACGCGCACCGGCCAGCCCCACCAAACGCGAACCTCTCACGTCGCGTCAGCTACGCCACCCAGCCCTGTCCCCCGCACGAAGAAGACATAGGTAACACTGTTCGCGAGTTCACGAATAAGGTTTATGCTTGAGATCAACCACACTCATCCCACACAGTGCAAGACCCTAAAAGACAGGAAGATGGAACTGTAATCTTGATGACTTGATACTAAGACTCCATGACAGAGTTTACAAGAAACTATCTACTTCAAACACCCCCAGGACACCAGTTCTCGCAACGCTATAATACAAAGCCAAACAACAAAGAAAGGGCTCTTCCTGCTACAACACCGTCTAAAACCCAGTATTTACAAATGAAAACAAAGAAAACGCCAAATAATGCTAATGATGATGGTGATGCAGAACAAAAAAAGGAAAAGAGTGGTGTTAGGGAAGCTTCTAGTTCCCCCTACCAAGCAACTTCTTGCCTAGAGCTTTGGCTTTCTTCGTCTTTGGGCCATCAGTGTCTTCTTCCATGACGCTGCCTTCCCGTCCACTCATACCACTGACGCCGCTAATGCCAGTGGCCACACTCGCGGCTCTCATGCTGGCTGCGCCGCTACCCGCTCTGCCTCGCATGTGTCCGGCGAAAGGTGCGCTGACCCCAGCGATGTGTTTACTCAAGCTATGAATGAGGTTTGCATGGACTGGCTCTGTGTTGTCTACTCTTGACAGTTCATCAGCAAAGGCGCGTCCGTCGTCGACGTCTTCGGGGCCTAGTCCGTTGCTGTGATGATTCAAGCCACCCATGATGGAACCGTGTGTCGAGCGTGCTTGGTTGGAGGTTGAAGGTGGTTTTGACGATTGAAGAGACGAGCCTTCTTCCGATACGGTACTGATGAGACTACCTTGGCGGCCGGATGCGAAAGAACGGCGGGGCATGCGGTCCTCGGCTGAGAGGTCGGAGCCACCGGGTGAGTGGTCGCGCATGGAATTTGAATCGGTGCCTGAGAGATCGGGAGAGGTGTTGAGCATCGTGCTGCTATTGGCGAGTTGTCGCAGACGCGACTGTGCTTTGGCTGAAGGTCGGTGGTGCGAGATCTTGTTGCCGACGATTGTACCGGCGTGCGAGAGGAGCGCCCTCAAGACGTCTTTCTTGAGTTGCGTGACAAGATCTAAGTTAGACCAAGTCTTGTTACGGTACTCTATTGTGGGCATCCTGAAGACCAGGTCGTGGACATCTTCAAAGTTGCGTGTGCTCTTGCCCTTGTAGGAAAGACACAGTACCATGGACGGAATCTTGAAGTAAGCAACTGTCATGTACTCGCTCGCACGACTCATCATCTCAGTCAGATCGTCACTTCTGGCTTCCTTCTTGTTGGTCTTCTTCTCCGCCAGATTAGTGCCGGTGCGGTAGAGCGCAAAGCGTTTCGCGGTTCGATCAGACTCGTTCAGAGTCTGACTTGAGTTGGTTGTACTTGAACGGACGGAGCTTGGTCTTGTGGAGGTATTGGAGCTGTTTCCCAATGTAGGTACCACCAATGCGGAGCTTGGGTGAAGAGTGCGACGAAGCTCTGTTCCACTACGAGAAGGATTGCTGTCTTTGAAGAAACGGAAATAGTGAGCGCTTGGGCGCTTAACCAAACTCTTCCTCTTCGCGTCGGACTTCTGTACTGGATCAGGCAGCTGAAGTGTGGGCGTAAGCCGTTGTTTGAGTGCTTCCACAGCGGCGTCATCAGCTGAAAGCGATGCGCTCATACTTGTCGCCCCAGAAATGATGCTATCGGTTTCTTCGTCTTCCTCATCCTGAGTCGGCAGAGTATGCTTGAGTAGGAAGGGCGATGAGTTCGCAGTCTTGCTGTCACCGTACGTAGGGAAGACATATTGCAACAGTTTCTTGCCGATCTGGTACTCCAACTGCACCTTCAGCGGGTACAGCTCAACTTCAAAGTGCTCTACGACAGGGATACCAGCAATCGATTCAAGTGCCACGAAGTAGACCTTGAGACATTTGGCGTTTTCGGGGAGAGTCTGATCTTGCTCCAGGAAAGGTGATATCATCTCTGGGTATAGAGCGTTAGGTAGCAAGTTCAGACCTCGCACTTGCTCAATCTCCAAAGAGTTCGAGTTGGATCCATCGTTGTTATCTGTGCGGTCGAATGCGACGTTCTTGAGCTGGAACTCTGCTAGTGACTCTGCGCCCTCGCGAAGCAGATGCCAAACGATGTCAGATGCAGAGACATACATCCGCAAAAGTCCAGTTGAATCTCTTGCCTGGGCACGATCGTCTTGCTTGCGTTGTGCGGTTGTGATGGCCTTCATGACGAAGAACAGCTCGTCCTCGTAGACAGCCAAGTCTTTCTCAACTTCAATCCTATCTTCCCAACCTTGCTTGTCCAGGTATTTCTCGTTGATCTGGAAGACAGTCTTGATCTCTTCCAGTTGTTGTATGCGCTCTTGAAGACCCATGACTAGCTTTGGAGCTCCTGCGAGATCGGTGAAGTCGGAAGCAAGCATGATCTTCTCAAGTCGCTCATTACGAGTCTTTTCCAAGGGCTCGTGGTACAGCAGAAGATCCAATACGATGACGTACATCGCATAGTACTGCCTGGAGTCGCACAGGGCCCGCACGTGTGGGAAGTCCACCCATAGATGGTCAATACGGCTCTCCATGTTGTCAGCAGATGTGGCCGAGTCAGCAGCCGAGACATCGTCGTTGTACTTCAGGCGCAGCGCGTTGTGCTTGTCGTAGCGCATACTGGCTGAAGTTCGCTGTACCACCCGCTGGAAGCCAAATGGATTGCTGTGGAACTCGAACATGACCTCGAAAGGTACCCATGGTGGCCATGCTGAGCCAGCTGGCGTTCCGTACATGCTTCCGGAGTACATGTGGATATCCTCCGGACTGCTAAAGGTCTTTGAGTTGGTGACGAAGATTTGCAAGCTGTCCATAGCTGCGATGAACCTTCGTTGAACGAGACCCGAGACCTCATCCATGACACGGTCCTTGTCCATGATTTGTAGAACCTTGAGCTGCATGCCTTTGGCCGTGACAAGTACCGCAGACTTGGTGTCTTTCTCGCTCTGCAATTGGATCTGCGGTGCAATCAGACGTACCAGATACGAGTTCTGAGACACGTAATCGTCTGCGACATCTTCATCCGCTTTTGCCGGATTCGCATGTGAAGTGTCACCAGCACCGTTGGATGCACCGTTGGTACTCTTGCTTTTAGCGTCTTCTTCATCGGCGTTGACAAAATTCCTGCCGTCGCGAAGCAACTGCTCGATTGTTTCGTCAATGTTAAGTCCGGCCTCGTTGTCGCCAGCCATGGGTGTTTCGTCGGGTCCAGATGTAGATGGTCCACGAGACTTGTTCTGCTCTTCAACAACGTCGAGTATGAACTTCACTGCCCTTCGTGACATGTAGTAGACGAAACCTCGACGTTGACTGACTTGGTGTATGTAGCGGAGTATAATGTTCCGTAGGGAGTTGCCCCACTTCAAGTGGATGTTGTGAATGATGAATCGGTTGTTGAAGTCGTTGGTGAAGTCCGTGATAGGGTTAGGAGGCGCATCGGCGTGCTTGTGTTCAGGGTCGATAGCATTCTGAGCTTCGTCTGCTTCGAAATACTCATCTTCTGTGTCGGTATCAGGCTCTGCGACCGTGTTGTCTGGTGAAGACGCGGCAGTTTCTAGTCGCTCCAACAGACCAGCATACATCGTAGAGAGGAATTCTAGTTTCCGTTGAAGGAACTGGGAATGATTGCGCAGGGCCTCAAGACGGCGTTGCGACTCTTGTTGCATGTCTGACGTCTCACGAACGACTTTTAGTTCTTGGTCGTTGATTGCATGCTGATTAAGAGCAACCTGCTCTTTCACACGTTCTATCCGCTGTTCAATCAGTTGACATTGCACTCGACGTGGGTCGTTTCGCGCCGAAATGACACAATGATGAGTCGGCTCGTTACCGAATGCGCTCTTACGGTGTTTGTCACCAGAAATGTTGTTGGCATGGTCCGTTTGACGGAAGTACGTAAATCGTGGCGCGAATGCTAGCGGGAGAATTTGCGTTTCGGGGTGCCGGCGTGAGGGCAAGATCCAGCCAAGCTCGATGAAGTCGTCCATATCCACCCACCCTAGATCGTTGTCTGGAATGGTAAACTTCGATAAGTCGGCTGTTAGGTACTCCTGGTTGTAGCTAGCGAGATCATCCGCGGTTGCGTTATCAACATCTTCAGAGCCTGTACCTGCAATGCTTGCAGACACTGCTCGGATGTCCGTCCGGATGAGGTCAAGCTGTACTTGATTGATGCGCATACCAGTTGTCTT